GCATTCCACTCCTAGGAATCTACCTAAAGGAGACAAAAACATTAATTCAAAAAGAAACATTCATTCTTATGTTTATGGAAACACTGTTTAATTGTTAAGACATGGAAACAACCTTAATGTCCTCAAATAGCTAAATGAATCAAGATGTGGTATATACACACAATGGAATCAATTATCAATTATCACACACAATTATCAATCAAAAAGTAGAAAATCATGTCATTTGTGGCTACATGGATAGAGCTGGAAGGGACTGTGTTAAGTGAAATAAGTAAGAAACAAAAATAAATATCAGATGTTTCCACATATAGGCGCAATATTGGGAATCCAAACAAAGTGTGGGGGGTGGGGAAACAAAATTTGCAAACTGACCATAGATCTAAGTTACTCAGAAAAGGAGATGTAGAATAGGGAGAGGGATCAAAATAGGAGAGGGAAGAACACAAGAGACTACGGTGATGGGTCACATATGAGAACTACTTAACTACACTGAGGGAAGAAATCAAATATTGTACAAAAATGAACAACTATAGATTTATAATTAAAAAATAAAATCTAAAAAAAATTAAAAGACTTATGTGACATGTATATACAATTAAATTACTGTTCAACAAAATAAAATGTCAAAATCCTGACATTTGCAACAACACAGTTGGACCAAGTGCTAATTGTGCTTAAATAAACCACATAATTTCACTCATGGGGTAAGCAGACTGAAAAAAATAATTGAATAAATTAAAATAAAAACTACCTTTTTGGCTACAGACCATATTGTGGCTTCCAGAGATGGGGGAAGGTGGGTGAATAAATAAGGAAATATGGGACTTGATATGGTCAAAATGAATTTGGATTTTAATATATTGTGCAAACATGCTCAGTCTCAACAGTAAACCCCTGAAATATATATAATATTAAAATGCAATGGTATTTCAATAAAGTAATTTAAAGAAATAAGCAAATTAAAAACTAAACACCCAAAATGAAAAGATTCCTATCACCCATATGTGGGTTCAGTTTTGTTTTTTGTTGTCATCCTTTGATCACCTTAAATTATGAATGAAATTCTGGTAATTAGCACTTCTCAAATCTGTTTCTAGATCCTTTGGCCAATCAGTGCCCTTATCTGGTTTTCTAATTCACAATTATTTTATCAGTAATGTTGAAATAAAAGAAGCTAAAAGGTTTTAGTTTTCCTTTCCACATTTTATACACATAAAAAATCTAGTTGTATATAATGCTTGTCAAGGGCTGGAGAGAGTGAAAAATGAAATTTTGTTTAATGAGCATGAAAAATATTCTGGAGATTGGTTTTACAACAATGTGAATATATTTAACGCTAGTGAACTGTATACTTAAAAACAGTTAATATGGAAAATGTTATATTATACATATTTTTCCACAATTAGAAATAGATAAGTCCACTTAAAGTATAAAAAGTCCAGGGTGATTGACGGCAGCAACAATAAATGAGGACTATTTTCACTTGAAGTCAAATTGTTACTGAAAGCTGGTCTCTGTTCCCTCAGCCAATAAAAGGAAACAGTTTGAGGAAAAGGAAAGTGTCATTTTTTTGACAAATGAGGTGGGTAGCAGACTCAAGTCTGAAAGACCACTGTCCTCTCTTCAGCAGGCTACAGGGATATTTATACAAAGCTAAACAAAAGGGTGGAGATGGGCAAGGGACTGAAAGAGGGAGAGAGCAGGAGTCAGCATGTAGATGGAGACGGGTGGACACCACTTGCTCTTTTTCACCTGCTTTTTGACTACCCTTTCCTTGGAAAACAAGAATGTAAACCTTTCAAACAAGGGAAGACACATTGCATGGAACAGGGAGTGACAAACTTGTTAATGATTATCTGAGAGAACAGTCCAGTCATAAAGAAGACAAACTTGTCAGAGAGGGAAAGAATAACTTGCTGATGCTTATCTGAGAGACCAGTCATTTGTAACTGTATCAAAGAAATTACCATAAATCAAACTTAACTGGATTTGATTTAATTTTTAATTTCTGTTATTTTACTGAATAGGTACATGTTTTTCAATTTACTAAAACTATTGCTGTAGAACAACTTAATTTCAACTTTTGCTCTTTAGTGTCCCAGATTTAGTTACCCATGTAAAAAGATTGCAAAAAATGTTATTTCATTTACTTTGGGAAATATGGATTATTCTGCAATTTAAAACAAAACAATACAAGATTTGACATGTATAAGTAAGCATGAAGTATGAAATTTACTGAGATGAAGAAGACAAGGTGGGTAACAATTGTGAAAGATTAGGGATTGAACTAATGGTTCTCAGCAGGGATGATTTTGCCCCACAGGGGATATTTGGCAGTGCCTGGAGACAGTTTGCCTATCACAACTATTAAAATTTAAAGTGAGGCCATATTTGTTGTGGAGGCCTGCCACGTTAATATTAATGACAACAAAATAAACTTTGGGTTAGAGTTATCTCCTCTAATTTTGGCCACTGTCTTAGCATAAGACTTCTTTCTCTTCCCTTTTCTCTGCTCAATATCTGTTTAGCCCACTTCTCATTTTTCTACATTTTTTTCTTGGGGTATATCACCCATGCCCCTGATTTCCATTACCGCATCTATGTTGCTGATGTTTAGTTTAGCACCAAGTGCTCTTAAAGCAGTTTATTTTGGTATCCCCGTCACATTTTTTTCATCAACCGCTCTTCATTTCTTGTCTTAATTAGTAGCACCTGGTAGAAAAACACAGGATCACTTATTTTCCAAACATTTACCAAGCACCTAGTTCATGTAACACTTGATGGTGGTAGTTGGATAAAGATAATGATACTACAGATGAGTTATTAAAGCACAGCAAACACATTATTTCTAATTATGGTTGAAAACTAAAGCCCCCAAATATTTAATTACTTAATTGTCACAAAGCTGGTAGTTCCTTTTTTAAAAGTCAGGTCTATTTTGACATTAAGGACTGAACTCACTTCATTAAACAAACAAACAACACAACAAAGCAACACTGAGAACTAAAGGGAGAAGTGTGAACTAGTTTGTCAATTGCCCAAGGGGTGGCAGTTAAGTCAATTTTAAAGGTGAAGGTCTGAGATACTCCCCCCAGCCTTTTCTTAACTAGTTAGCACACTATTCTGACTACTTACCATATATCATAGAATATAATACCCCACAAAATAATTTTCCATATCTCTAAGGAAAGAAAAAAAAGTACGTTATCAATTAAAGTATGACATGTCATATACTATCAGAAATCGCTAGATTTTGAAACATGAAATTTGTAAGCCAACAAAGACTTCTAATTGTTAAAATATAACCCCAAAATGTGATCTTAGAGTCTATGATCTATGACGAATTTATTTTCCACATTCTATTTCCACGGTCTCTGCTAGTGTGCTATTCTGCTCTTAGTCAACTAACAGCCTCCTTAATATTGCTTTTTAAACGGTTGTAGTTAGTGTCATGGGTGTGCAACTGCAAATAGATTGTAAAGCCCTAAATTCTTCAATAATTTCTTTGTTCTCAACCCTACCCCCACCCCGTGTCTTTCCATAATCTATGCCGTTTACCAGTTAGGAGTAAATCTGAATTTCTTAACCAATCTTAAAATTGCATACTTTGCATGACTGTCTCGTTAGATTTAGTTACCTTTTGGGTAGGGACGATGGAAACACATTATATTAAATATACTCATCGTTTTGTTAAGATCTATCCTTGCAGAAACGTCAAAATTGAGTGGGATAGGGAACCCGGGCAGAGGCAGAGAGGGTATATACGTCTCAGGATACAGGAAATACGGTAAGAACGAAACCAGGAGGAAGCTCTGAGCCTGTAGGGGACCCGCCGCCATCTCTGGTCTCTTGGCCTCTCCAAGGCCCACCGGAGAGAGCTGACGTGCGGTTCCTATAATCCTTATGGGGGACCAACCTTGTACTTCTGGGAGATCCACGCTCCCACCTGGAAACACACGGGAAATCAAGCCTCCCAAAAAACGCTGCCTCCTAGCTCCGCGGTGGGATTATCCTGAAGGAACCCCCGACCGAGGTAGTAACCCTCTCCCCTCAGCACCTCCTCCTGCATCATCCGGCCTGAAATCGCATCTTCCTCCTCCGGAGAAGTAGTAGAATATACTTCTCCCAATCCAAACCAGGTTAGACTCTTTATTTTGCATCTGGGACGTTCAGGGTCTCCGAAACTTAATTATGCATTTTCCCAGAACTCTCCGTTTCCTTGTTCTCTCCGCAGTTTGAAATTGAAAGAACATTATTCTTTGATGAAATATATATGAGTGAAATTATATTTAATATACTAGTTGTGATAATTGTAGTTACTTATTTACGGAAATAAACGTAAGTCTTTTGATGTGCTTGAAAGTAATTCAGTGAGGTGGCGGTGGGGGGAAGGGCTTAAGCAAAATATGAGTTGATAATTTTTAAAACTGGGTGTTGTGTTCATGGGAACTATTATACTATTTCATCTACTTTTGTGTGTATTTGAAACTGGCATTTAGAGAAATGTTTGTTTCAGATCAATAACAACTATGTATTGAAAGCCTAATTCCTATGCCTAGTTCTGTAATGACAGGATGACAGGGTGTATGATAAGGTGAACTTTCAGAAGTGTTCCTTTGTGTGTGCTTTGAAATTTAATTAGTAAAAACCTTATAGATAAGTGCTACAGTGTTTGCTTCAAGGTATTCAGAAAGCACTGAGAATACAGCAGCTCATTTTGCCTGGTAGTAATCATGAGTCATTAAAGAGGGGAAACTTTGGGTGGGCCTTAAAGGGTGAGTGATACTTGCCATGTGGAGGGAGTGGGAATAATTTTAAGGGATAGTGTTTTTAGAACAGCCAAGGCAGCTTTTTCTGGGATAAGCTTGGTTATATCTTGGAGCCTGAGAAGTACTGCGACAATAGTGTTGAAAGGCCTTATTTGTTGTGCTATTGAAGTAGGCAGTATCCATAAATAGTAACAACCATTGTTTCTTTGAGCAAGTGATGTATTTTGGGGGCCTACTGTTTACTCTCAGAGAAATAATCTTTTATTTAGGTGAATTTACAAAATGCCAAAATTAAAACCAAATTTCACAGATCTTTATAATCTGAAGGAGATTATAGGCAGCCTTTCTTTATTCATGCAATAAATCTTAATGGACTCCTTTCTGGACTAGGCATTGTGCTGGGGGCTGCATAATGATGATGACAAGGCATAGTACCTGGTATATAACAAGAGTGAAACAGACATTTAAATAAAAATCGGTGAATGACAGTGGCGACTAAGAAAATTCTGCATTTAGGACTTGGTGGTATTCCTTAGAAAAAGAATGAATGCTATTTTACTTAATAGCAGTTTCATCATCATACTTGGTCTGACTTCAACTTTACTTTGTCTAAAGGGGTAATGGTAGTGGGTGTGGTGGGAGGAGGCAGAGGACAGCAATATTGAGATTAAAAGCAATGGAGGTTGTATATGGCAAAAATGTGCAATAGGTACATAACACCTCCAGTGATTACAATCATTGCAAAGTTCAATAATAGCAAATATTCACTGTACATTTTTAATGTGCTGGATATTATTCTAAAGTAGTTAACAGACTCTGTGATCTTCACTGCTATTCAATAGGCCCCTCCTAGTATTACATATAAACTTTTTACAGGAATATATAGCTGAAATGGGAGTATAATGGAGCATAAGGTCTTGAAGGAGAACAGGGAAAAGAGATAGACAGTAACAAAAGAAATGATTTCACCTTATTTTACTATTTTTCAGTTTTTGAAAGATAACAGTATGACTTCATCTCTTTGGTGCATTCATAAAGTAGTTCATCCAGAGAAGACAATGAAAATTGTTGACAATACCATCCTGCTGCTTCTGATGCCTGGAACCTGGAAGTTGTGGTTTTTAAGGTAATCTCTTTAGCAAAACCTTATTAAGAGAGGAAGAGAGATGAGAATTGATTATAACACGAGTAAAAATAACTAGCTAAACCAAATATCTAGCACCAAATATAAAATTGAAACCATTTTCTGCGTTATATAAAACCATGTTTACCAATAATAATAATGTAACCTATAAGATATTTTATTAGATTCACTCCTAATATTGTTTTGTTGTTATAATGAAATGTATCTATTTAGCTAAATTTTCTAATTATTGCTGGTAAAGGGAGAGTAACTGATATTTTACATAGTGATTTTCTATGCTTCGGTCTTCCGGAATTATATTTGTTCTAATAATTTATGTTATTTTTGATTATCTGTTCATTAATTATATTGTGAATAATGGTAGTTTCTTCCTTTCCAATATTTATTTTTTTTACTTGCTTTATTGTGCTAGCTAATAACCAGTGCAATTAGAGAAACAATGAGAGTATTCCTTTGTGTTGATGCTGAATTTATAATAGAATTCTACAAATGTATCACCAGTTTACATAGATTTTCTTTTTCACATTTTCAGTTTCTCTGTAATTGAGGTAACATTGGCTTATAAAACTGTATGATTTAGGGGAAGAGATTCACATTGCAACAAAAAAATGTTTGCAGACATTGGTGGGATCTATTAAAAATCATTGTGAAATCATTTGTTCAACCTTATTTTCTACTCTAAAATGTTTAATGATTTTTACCCTTTTTGTAAGAAGAAGCAACGTTATACAGTGTTCTTTCAGTAGATTTTGAAAATATAAAACTTTCAGTAAATACAATATTGTGATTATTTAATGAAAGAAATAAATTATGGAGTTATTGTTGATATTTATATTTGTATTTTTAAACTGTTTAACACAATCTAATTCTACACTTAAAAATTTGGTGTAACAAATAACTTCCATGTACCTTTTGCACAGATTTACCAGTTAATATTTTGCATTTTATTTTATTAATTTCAATTTCTGTCTCTGTTTTCCCCACTCACTCTACCTCTGCTTTCTCCCCTTTTCACTTTCCCCACTAAGCCCTCTCTTCTTTATCTTCCCTTCTTCCCTTTTTCTCTGTTCCTCACCTCTCTGAATTATTGGAGAGTACTTAACACATGTCATACATATCATGCTCCTTTAACTGTGAATACTTGGCTATGTATTTCCTTAGAAGAATTATTTTCTCTTACATAACCATAGTGTGTGTCAAAAATAGAAATTTAGCATTGTTCCAGTTCTTTTTTTTTTTTTTTTTACATTAGCAATCATTGTCAGGAATATCCACTCATACTTATAGTAAAAGAATGAGTTTTGGAGAACATATATTTCAACT